GAATCAAGGGTGAAACTGTTAACTAGGGAAGCGCTCTACCCATCCTCGGCCCTCCTGAATGTCATTTATGTGTTCTAAAATAGATTTGTTATATTATTTTTAATTATGTGTTTGTGTGGATATGGGCATTTTCACGCATTTATACCATACTTTATTTATTTATTTATTTATTTATTTTTGCTTAGACAGGGTCTCTCTTTGTAGCACAGGCTGGCCTTGAACTCAGAGATTTGACTGCCTCTCTGCCTTTCTCTGGTCTTCAGAGCAATCACCATGTCTGGCCTCATACTTTGTCCTTATTCATTTCTCTTCTACACTGCTCTCCATATATAATTTAATTTTTAAAAAATTATTTATTTTACACAGGATCTCACCAAGTTTCCCAGACTGACCTGAATTTGCTATGTAGTCTATGCAGACCTCAAACTTGTGATCCTTTTACAAGTGGCTGGGACTACAGGCATGGGCCTCGAAGCCTAGACGAGGTGTAGAATCATAAATCTTTCCTTTGTGACACTGTACATTTAAGTTCATTGTTTAAAAAATGATTTGCTTGTGTGAGGTGCACAGGTAGCTCGGGACGAAGCCAGAGGACAACCTCAGGTGTTGATCCCGCCTTCTACTTTCTTTGGGGCAGAGTCCCCTGTCCACCATTGCATACACCAGACTAGCTGGCCCAAGTGAGCAGAGAGTCTCCTGCCTCCCATCTCCCTGTAGACTGCCCTGTTGGGCTTTTAACTGGGCTCTGGAGACTCAGACTCCAGAGGTAAGCACCTTACTCACTGGGCCATAGCTTCATCCTTAACTTTATTTCCCAAGGATTAACCTAAATAGATTATTAGACTAATAGATGAAAATGAGGAAAAATTGTAAAAATTATTAATTAAAATAAAATAGTAGATGAGATACTGTAAGAACATATAATAGGAGACGCGATAAGGCATGGCGTTTCAGCATTGCGCCTGTCTGATATGTGGCAGCAGACGCCATTTACTTCCTCATGATACTGTGACCGTTGTCACTACTGACTGGAGAGAATGAAAAGGCTACAGAGTCCCAAGTTTGCAGGGCTGAGATCTTGACATCACCCCCAGGGCAGTCCTCAGAGGAAGGTGCTGTGGTCTCTTTTGATGACGGAATGAAGTGAATGTCCCAAGAAGGAAGAGAGTCAGCCTTGAGCTACCCTCGCTCCTCAGCATGTTCCTTTGTGAGATCTGCTAGGAAGGGCCATGTGGAGCCAGCATCCAGTTCTAAGCCTGTCTGAGCCCTTCCACTATAGTGCTGTAGAAGAGTCTGGAAGTGGAGGAGAGAAGCCAAGGGCTCAACAAATGCTGGCGTCTGTCCTTGTCCACCAGCGAGGGCCACATGCCAACGCCATGCCTAGGGTCGACACTATTCACCGAACTTGTCTTTGTCCCCCAGACTCCCAGGCCCTCTCTGCTCTGACCTCACTCACCCCTAGGCCTGGTTTTGGGTTGGTTAGAAGTTTGCGATCCATATTTTAATGATGGGAGGTGAGGTGAGGAGGAAGGTGGGGCTGGAGAAAGCCATGGAAGGAAGCTGTCTACACAGGACTGCCCAGGGGATGAGCAGAGGCTGACGAAGGGCTTGGTCCCCTGGTTCAACAGCCCTTCCTTTGTTTTATAGACGAGAAAACGAGTTCAGAGGGGTTAGTGATTTGGTCCATACAGAGTGCTCCTGAAACCCAATTATACTAGTTACCTTTCTGATGGCTGTGACCAAAGACCTGTTAAGAGGGGGAAGGATTTATTTTGGTTGATAGTCTGAGGGGCTACCGCCTGTCATGGTGGGGAAAGTGTGGGTGACCGGAGTTTATGAGTGGCTGGTCACATTGCTTCCATCATTAGGAAGCAGAGAGTGGACAGGAAGTTGGGCTAGGCTAAAAGATCTGAAAGCTAACCCCCAATGGCTCACTTCTCCAGGAAGGCCCCAACAAAGGCTGGCCCGCAGCTGGGGACCAAGTGTGCAAACACACGAGCCTGCGGAGGGGATTTCATGTTCAAACCATCTCAAATATGAAAGGGACCAGGGCTTGTGATTGAGCTCAGAAAGAACCTCCCTTCCAGTCTCCCCGTTCCCTCTCTCCCCTTAGGCCCACCCCAACCCTGCAATGGTGTGTTCCTGCCTTACTTTCGAGTCCCAACTCATTCCAAAAAGATTGAAGGTAGCACCAAGTAATTGTCCATCCTGCAGACTATGTGGCTCAGGTCTGTAATCCAAGTACTCAGGAGGCTGAGAGAGGAGGATTGCTAGGAGTCCAGGCCAGCCTCTGCTAAAGACTCTGTCTTAAAAAACAAATAATCTGGGCTAAGGATATGGCTCAGTGGGTAAAGGTGCTTGTGGCTAAGTCTGACAGCATGGGTTTGAGGTTTGATTCCCAGGACCTGCATGGTGGAAAGACAGAACCAACACCTACAGGTTGTCCTCTGGCCTCCAATGGTGGCACACACGTGGCCTCCCTGTTCCAAATAAGTGAGTAGATAAATAAGTAAGTGTGAAAAGAAAAAGAAAAGGAACAGAAAAAAAAAAAAACTACAACAAAGCTAAGAACCTGCGTTTGACACTTTCCTTCCTGTTTCTGTCCTCTCCTCAGGCACATTACGGTGCCTCAGCAGCTTTTCAAGGCCTTCTCGCTTCTTAAGTGACCTTTATTTGCCTCTCACGAAATTCAGAGTGCTTAGGACACTGTGAGACACGTTGAGCAATCCCAGCCAGCTGGGGAAAGGGTGGAGGAGGGCTAATAGGTGAATTACTTTGGTGATTTCCCAAAAATTAGTCACTCCCACACAAAATACTCACTAAGACTTTTTGCTGCTGTTGCTGTTTGGGGTGGTGCAGGCCCATGATCCCAGGACTCGGGAGGGAGAGGGAGAGGGAGAGGGAGGACGCCAAGGGTGATGCTCATCTGGGCTGCAGGCGACCCTGTCTCAGTAAACCAAAGCGGTGCTTGTCCACACCCTCCCGCTTCAGGGGATCTGACGCCCTCTCCTGGCCTTTGTGGGCACTGGCACTCACATGCACATACCCACCCAGACACACACGCACGCACATAATTAAAAGTAATAAACTCTTAAAAATTTCATGTATATAACATACATTTGCAAAAGTGAATTCATATATATATTATGATATATATTATATATATTGAGTAATGAGTAAAAAATTATGTGGCTGAGTAACATATATAATATGTAAATAATATTACATATGTTAATAATATATCTATATATGTTACTCAGCCACATAATTTTTTTTACTCATTACTCAATTTACTCATTAATGTTGGTAGGATGACTTGTCTTACCTAATTTTCTATTTATTTATTTATTCATTCATTCAAGGCAGGGTCTCACTCTTTAGCTCAAGATAACATAAAACTTGTAACACAGTCTGGCCACCACCTTGCAATAATCCTCCTGCCTCAGCTTCCTAAGTGTTTTGATTCTAGGTTTTGTTTGCATTGTTAAGAGGAGACAGGTATTTGAAGAATTCTGTTCGTGCTGACGAGGCCGCTCTTCTGACGGGGTGGGAGAAGGAAGGGTGGTCCTTATTTCTTGGGCGGGTACAGTCACCCACACCAGCGGGCACTCTGTCACATGGCTGGAAAGTCCCATGTGCCAGCACTGCCACGTGGCGAGGAAACTCAGGCTCATTTCTCCTGCTTCCTGGAGAGGCCCTGATCCCGCAGATGCTGTGCGCTGGTTCCATTTCAATGCGTCCCAACCCTGGCTTCCCTCTCATTTCTGACTTCTGCCTCCCTATTCTATACCCCGCACTAGAGGACTCTTAGGCTTTTCCAAAGAGTTGGCCTCCATGACTACATCTTCCCAGCCAGACCATAGCTGGTTGTAGAATCCACCTCCGGATTCCTAAGTGGACTCCTGACTTGCTAAGAACTAGCAAACCCATAGCGGGGCGGGGAAGGAAGCTAAGGAGAGAAAGGAAGTAGGTCTTCTGAAGCAGGCCTGTAGTCCCAGCACTCGGGAGGAGCCAGCAGAGGAGCAGGAGTTCGAGGCCATCCTTAGCTACAAAGCTAGTTTGAGGCCAGCCTGGTCTACATGAGATCCTGCCTCAAGAAATAATAAAGCAGAAAGGAAGAAAGAAAAACTAACGAGAAAAAATTTCACATACAAGTAACAAACAATAAAACCAAAGGAGTAGTGAAGAAAAAAATGCCATAAGAACTCAGATAGGATTTTTAGTTTATTAAGACATTCAGGATCATAGACAGCCATGTCCAGCCCTGTTGAATTTCAGTGTCTTTCTGACACAGGCTTCGGTATGTAAGAGCTACCTATTTGGAGATAATGTGAAAATCCCTATCTCTTTCATAGTTTGTCTTCCTCTTGTGTGGAGTATTTAGAAGTCATGGGTTTGGGCAACAAGGGTGTGAGACAGAAAAAAGACTTTTTCCCAGAGGAGTGAAGGACAGACAGAAAGTCAGCTGTGGTCCATGCAGCCGGTTTCCCATTCTAATGGGTGAATAGGTTTCCTGCTTTGTGGGTCACCCCTCAACTGGGAGCTTCTAGCCTTTCCAGTGTCGGGGAGGTTGAGCTATCAGGATAGCGAGTTGGAGGACAGCCTGGGCTAAAAACCCCCCCAAAACCCCAAAAGCCAAATAACAACAAAACAAATCAAAAGAGACTAGTAGAATTAAATGGGAATTATGAGGTTCATACCCTCTCTTCTTGGCCCCCAGAATTTGTCACAGGAGGTACAGAAAGTTGACTTACAGGTGTGTGGATGTGGGGGGGCAGGTTGGGAGATGGGACCAATGGGTTTAATCAGGGCTACTTACAGAAGCATGGTCACTTACTAGTGGCACTTTCTAGAGGAGTGAGGCCTGGGTCCCTCCCCTGGGTTAGTTCTGATGTAGTTTACAAGGGAGACTGGCTAAACACAGCCCCATTTCCAACCTGTGTCTCGGAGGCTTGCCTGGTCCTTAATTTTGCTTCTCCTTTTTCTTTTGTTAATTGCAGGAGCAATCAGAATGACTGCCCCTAGAGGTTGCCGCTCAGACCTGGAGTCCAGGTACCACAGACTCTGTGATCTGGCTCAAGGCTGGGGTATTGCCCTGGAAACACTGGCCGCGGTGGGCGCTGTGGCCACAGTGGCCTTCATGTTTGCTCTCTTGATCCTCATCAGCAAAGTGCAGGACTCCAACAGGCGGAAGATGCTCCCCACCCAGTTCCTCTTCCTCCTGGGCGTGCTCGGGGTCTTCGGCCTCACCTTTGCCTTCCTCATCAAGCTGGACTGGGCCACAGGCCCCACGCGCTTCTTCCTCTTCGGCGTCCTGTTTGCCATCTGCTTCTCTTGCCTCCTGGCCCACACCTTCAACTTGAACAAGCTGGTCCGAGGGAGGAAGCCCCTGTCGTGGCTTGTGATCCTGAGCCTGGCATTGGGCTTCAGCCTAGTCCAGGACGTCATTGCAGTTGAATACCTGGTCCTCACCATGAACCGCACCAATACCGATATCTTCTCGGAGCTGCCCGCCTCTCGGCGCAACGAGGACTTCGTCATGCTGCTCATCTACGTACTCTTCTTGATGGCGCTGACCTTCTTCTCATCCTTCTTCGTCCTCTGTGGGTCCTTCCGTGGCTGGAAGAGACACGGGGCTCACATATGCTGCACCTCATTCCTGTCCATTGCCGTCTGGGTGGCCTGGATCGTCCTGCTCCTGACTCCCGACATCGGCTCTGAGTGGGACGACACCATTCTCTGCACAGCCTTGGTTGCCAATGGCTGGGTTTTCCTGGCATTCTATGTCTTCCCTGAGTTTCTACGGCTCCCAAGGCAACAAAGTCCCACAGATTACCCAGTTGAAGATGCTTTCTGTAAACCTCAACTCATGAAGCAGAGCTATGGTGTAGAGAACAGAGCCTACTCCCAAGAGGAAATCACCCAAGGTACGGGCGAGGAGGCCCTGGTATGAAGACGGGGGAACAAGTTGGGCATGGTAGTGCAGGCTCATGTGCACACCTGGGCACACACACTTGCACACATACACAGAGGCAAATACATCTCTAATCTCAGCACTTGGGGGACGGAGGCAGGAGGATCATCATGAGTTTAAGATGGGTCATATAGAAAGACTGTCTTTCAGAATACCAAAACCCTTTTGGGCTGGGTATGTAGGTCAGTACAGTGCTTGTTTAAACATGAACGGAAAGTCATAGACCCTCCAGCACCACTGAAAATGGGTACGGTGGCACACACTTGTAAGCTCAGCCCTTGGGAGGGAGAGGCAGGAGGATCAGAAGTTCAAGGTCATTTTTGGCAACACATGGATTTCAAGGCCAGCCTGGGGTACAGGAGGTGGTCTCAAGAACACAAAACCAAGCCAGGCAGTGGTAGCACTCTCCTTTAACCCCAACACTTAGGAGGCAAAGGCAGGCCTTATCTCAAAGAACCAAAACAAAGAAACAAACAACAGCAACAACAAAACCCCAAAGATTCCAACCAAACAAACCCCCAATAACAAAACAAACAAGCAAACCGCAGAAACATTCCCAGCTGTAAAATCTGTAACTTTCTAGAAAGCACACCAGCTATTCCATTCAAAGCAAGAAGAGATTTCCGAGCTGCCCTAGTGTCCTCCTAATTTTGTCTTGATCACATTGTAATCCCAGCCAAGGCACTTGGAGCCACCCTGTAATCTCCATTGTGGAAAAGAGAAATAGAGACAGGAGGGGAACCAAAACAGACAACACCACACTCCCAAACCCAGAAGCAAAACACTGAGAAAAGACAGTGGAGGCAGAGGAGGAATCATTGACTATCACCCTAAGAATGCCAGGCTGTGGGGCTCACCTGTCATGAGCTCTTGGGAGGTGGAGACAAGAAGATCAGAATTTCATGGTCAGCCTGGAGTATATGAGATCCAGTCTTAGAAAACAAACAAACAAGCAAACAAAAGCCAAACAAGGGCAAGAGAGATGGCTCATGGTTGAGCATTGCTGCTTTTGCAGAGGACCCGCGTGGAAGTTCCCAACCCTTGGCAACTCCAACTCCAGGAATCTTGCACCCTCTTCTAGCCTCTCTGAGCACTAGACGCACATGTGGTATACTTACTTGCAGGCAAAGCCTCATACACGTAAAATTAAAAGAGACAGATCTTAAAGTAAATTCAAACAAACACCCTCTGAAACAAACGCCCAAACTACAAGGAGCTTGCTGGCTGGTTACAGATTCTGGTCTTAAGTAAACCAACATTAGTCACTTTCCTGTTGCTTTGACAAAAGACCAAAACCCAACGCAAACCATTATGTCTTTTGATTCCAGAGGGATAAGAGTCCATTATGGCAGGGAAGTTGAGAGTGTGTGTCTTCAAACACAAGCGGGAAGCAGAAGCCAACCAGCTGGGAGTGGGGGAGAGGCTTTAACCTCTCAAAGCCCGCCCCATTGACATACTTTCTCAACAAGGCTGTACCCAGTAAGAGTCCCCAAGTAGTTCCACCAACTAGAGACCTAGTATTTGAACATCTGAGCCTATGAGAGCCCTTCTCATTTAAACCACCACAATCCATTCCCTGGACTTTTGTGCTCATGGCTGTAGGCAGAGTTTTCCTGTCCTGACCACCTGCTCCCAAAGAATCACTGAGGCTTAATATAAATGCTTGTCAGTAGCTCAGGCTTATTACTAACTAATTCTTACATTTTAAATTACCCCATTTCTATTATTCTACATTAATGACTCGTGGCTTTACATGTCCTGTTCCCTCTGCAGCTCCTGGCACCTCTCTTGACTCTCTCTCTTCATCCTTGTATTCTCTCTGTGTCTGACTGTCCCGCCTGTACTTCCTGTCTGGCTACTGGCCTGTCAGCTTTTTATAAGCCAAGGAGAATAATACATATTCACAGTGTACAGAAGGGTTATTCCACAGCACATAACCATATCATAATGCAAAACGCACTTAATCCAATTTTAGAAGTCCCCATAGTCTGTTTACTATTTAAAAACCCAAAGTCTCTCCTGAGACTCAAGGCAATCTCTTAGTAGCTTCCCCAAAAATCCAGTCATAGTTAAGTAGAACTGGAAGCCGGCCTCTCAAGTCTTCATCTAGTACTTCCAACACAATTTCATGCAGGCTGAACTAGAATAAGGGATAAAGGGTAGGAAACCCCCTAGTGTTTGTGGTTGGAGTTGGGTTCTGTGCAAAGGTGTATAAATGACTTTCCTGTTTTGAGGTTGGGTCTTGCCATGTAGCTGTGCTTCAGCTTGCTGTGCAGAGCAGACTGGGCCTTTACATGCTAATCCCCCCACCTCTGCCTTCAGAGTGTGCCTGGCTCAGCGTCTTGCTTTTCATGTTCTGGGCCCCTGGTGGCTTCCTTTCTCAGCCGTCTTTCTAGGTACTGTCCATTGCTGCTCCCATTTCTCACTGGCTCCCCACATCCTGTTATGTTGGGTCTGCGTAAGTTGTGCAGCCTTCCACAACGGAAGTCAGTCCAGACAGACCAAACTGTCACTAGTCTCTAGCCTCATGATAGTCAGGGTGCAGCTGCTTGTCTGATGTGTCGTCTGTCTGCTTCAGAGCCCAGCATTCCCCGGCCTGTCTTAGGAATGGCTCCACCATGTATGTGTGCTGTAGAACCGACATATTCTTATTAGCTTACTTGTGTTTCTTATAGGACAGGGCACACCTTATGTTCTTTATACTATCTTTGCTTGCATATGTTTAGTCTAAAAAATTTAATACTGCTTGTTTACTTTCTTTCGTGTGTGTGTGTGTGTTACAACACACATGTATGTTGTCAGAGGATAAGTTTCAGAATTCTTTCTACCACATGGGCCTTGAGATGAAGCTCAGGTCATCAGGCTGGGCAGCAAATGCCTCTCCCCACCGACCTACCTTGACAGTACTTATTTTGGCTTTTTATTTTTACTTTATTTTTTTGAGACAAGGTCTGAAAATGGCCTTGAATTCCTCATTCTCCTGCCTCCACCTCCCAAGTTCTGGGATCACAGGTGTGCACCACCGTGCCCACCCAGGTCCCCACACTATCTTAAATGAAGAAGTGTTTAGGAAGGGGGCAGGGACAGGTAAACTTGTCAGCTCAAGTTCAAACATCCTATCTATTTCCCCCAAATACACAGAACACACCACTTGAACTCTTCCCAGTTTGGGAAATGTGTAAGTCCCCGTGGCCCCAGGTGTGACAGTGCCCGGTCTGGGGCTGGAAGGCATGGCCTCTCCCTGCAAGAAATTTGAACTGCCACGGCCCAAGGGGACCAACTGTCACAGACACACCATGACAAGGGCTACAGTGAGGAATGCACGTGCCCAGGGGCCTCAGTTTCTCCTCTCTTCTGTTCCAGGTCTCGAGGATACAGGGGACACGCTCTATGCACCTTATTCCACCCATTTTCAGCTGCAGGTAAGCGACCTTTGCCACTCCTCACTCCCCCTCTCCCAGGGACAGTTGTCCTTTGGGAATGGCGTTTGCCACCATTTTAGTGGCACCTAAGTGGCCACCGTGAAGGGATGGCATGCCTTCTTTCCCTGCACTGTGCCTTTTGGGGTTGGGGTGGCACTTGGGCTCGGGGAGGATCTGCAGACAGAGATCTTTCGAGAAGGGCATCGGAGGCTCACTGAGGTGGCCATGGAAGGGTTAACCACGTGATTGCTTCCTTCACAGGATCGGACCCCTAAGAAGGAGTTCTCTATCCCGAGGGCACATGCCCCGACCAGTCCGTACAATAACTACGAAGGACGGAAAGGGGACAGCAGCTAACTCTGAGAAGAATGGGCCAACGAGAGCCAGGCAGCAGCTTCCAGTCAGGAGCCCTGCGGATGCGAACTGAATCCAGGGTGTCCTAGGGGAACTGTGCACTAGAGGCTTGTTCCCCACCCAGCACCCTGCTGTCCTTTTGTCTGGGGCTGCCGCGCCCAGCAGACTGCTTCTGCTTCTCAGCGCCCCGTGTTTCCCTGTCCCATTCTTAGGATACTTCTTGGAGGTGGGAGTCTTGGGCGACTCAGGGCGGGACTCTTACCTCTGCCACGAATTGTGGGCAAACAACTGGCCATCTAACTCCTCGCTGACTCGTTCATCTCCGGAAGCCAATTCGTTGAACCCAGGGTGGGGTCCGTGAGGATCACTTGGCACAGAACAGAACCGCAATTCGCACCAACCCAGAAAGATGTGGGTCTCCACCCTGTGCCTATCAGTCCACACTGGAAGCTAACCTGGCCCTGCCCTCCTAGGTCTTCCTGCCTGGGGAGGAGAGGCTAAAGGTCACTAAGTGTCTAATCGCTGGGCACTGGCCCACAATGGTCCCAGCAGTGCGGACACTGACTTGAAGGGCGTATCACCTCCAGACTAGCTGCCGGCCAGGACCTCCATGTCCTTTCTGGGAGCTCTTCTGGATATTACTGGAGTAGACAAGGCCTGTTTCTTCCTGCCAGGAGAATCTGGGCTTTGTCATGCCATGCATTCCTGACCGGCCCTTCTCCCCACCCCCTCACCCCCAGCCTCAGTAACAGATGGATCCTGCATTCACCTCAAGCCCTTTAAGTGGGCAGTGTCTCTTCTTGGGGCGGGATGTGTCCGTTGTGTGATAAATTATTCCCTTGGATATGCAATAAAGATGCGATGGCAACTGTTTTTTTAATTTAAATTTATTTATTTACTTTTGTAAAAAAATTAATATATTTTAAAGGTTATTTCTGGGTGTGGGTACACACATGGCATTGGGAGATCAGGGGATGTCTTTCTAAAATCTGTGGGGCAGAGGATTAGGAATCTCTCCCTTATGGGGGAACTAGGATCCTCACCCTTAGCCATGCAAACAATATGTAAACATCTGCTTAGTTGGGAACTTGCCCTTTAAAAGAGTCTTCACTTGGGCCTGGGCATGATGGCGCACACCTTCAGTCCCAGCAGGAAGATCTCTGAGTTCGAGGCCAGCCTGATCTGCAGAGCAAGTGCCAGGACAGATTCCAAAACTACAGAGAAACCCTGTCTCGAAAAACCAAAAACCAACCAACCAACCAAAACCAACAGGAAAGTGAGTTAAGTTCATGCAGAATGATGGGTATTATAGCTCACAAAGGTTGGTGGGTCGCACTAGCATCCCTCCGGGTTTGTACTAATTGAAAGGCGGGAGGTGCCAGAGCTGGTGAGAGGGCTCAGTGAATAAAGGTGCCTGCCGCTGGGTCCGACAACCTGCATTCAGTCTACAGAATCCAAATGGTGGAACCAGAGCCCATTCCTGAATGCAGCCTTCTGACCTCTACATGTGTGTCGTAGTATGTGTGCACCCAGACACGTGGGCATGCACAAGAAAGAAATGTGCTTTAGAAAAGCAGTGTAGGAAGGTGACAAACAGCAATGAGACTCCTTCTAGACTGCTCCAGTCTTTCTCCAGAAGCCATAACCCTTCAGGGTTTGCTGGGAGGAGAAAATAGCATGGTTTTGCTCGTATTATCTGTCACATTCTAACTACACATTCCTGGGCTAGCAGGCGGTTCAGAGGGCAATGGCACTTGCTGCCAAGCCTACTGAATTGAGTTCGACACCTGGGAGCTGCATGGTAGAAGGACAGAACTGACTTCCATGTCCTCTGACTGCCATGCACAGATTATGCATGTAATCACCCACACATATGCAAATATACACAATGCACACATACGTGTGTGTGTGTGTTTCTGGGTTTGTTATAAAGGTTGCTGTAAGGGACGCAGATGAGGAGATGCCCAGATGAGGCATGGGAGGTGTTTCCTGGACCTTCCTGCCACTGTGTGTATCATCCGTCAGAGCTGGCCAAGCATGTGGCCACCTGAAGCTTCCTGGACTGTGTCCTGAGGTTGAATGGGGTTGGCATTGCCTAGCAGGTCTGCAGGTAGACAGATGGGGGGTGGGGTGGGGGTGGTTGCAAGGCTTGTGTAGTCAGATCCCTGACCCCCACCCCACAGGGTCTCAATCAGTGCACTGCCCAAGATAGCTTAGAGGTTACTATGTAGTCCATGGTGGTTTGTGGCAGTCCTGCCTCAGTTTGCTGTGTGGGAATCAGTGGCAGCGTGTCCAGCTCCTCCTGGCTCTTAGGTCTAACATGCCTCATTGAAAAGTATGGGGCAGGATTCCTCTGGGTATGGAGAGTCTTAAGACAGACACAGTTAGTTGAAGATTTCCTTCCTTTCTGCCCCTACCCTTTTGAGACAGGGTTTTGCTGTCTGGCTGGCCTCAAACTCGCAGGGATTTGCTTGCCTCTGCCTCTGCTTCCTGAATGCTGGGATTAAACTGTCTTCTGAGACAGTTTCATGTAGCCTAGGCTGACCTCCAACCCTATGCAGCTGAGAATAGTCTTTCTGCCTCCACCTCCACAGGCACAGAATGTTCTGGGTTATTTTGTCATTAGGTTCCTATCCTCATGGCCACTGAGACACTGAGGAGGACCTGGGAATGGCACCATCCCCGTGTCTGGAGTTGTCTTGTCCAAGAGATAAGGTGGTCTCCATGTTTGAACACATGGTCACAGCATTCTGAGTCCCTGGCCGTTCAGGCAGCAGCAGAATGCTCTCTCTTAGAGCAGGACTGGTCACGCCTGGCGGCTGGTATCTCATTGTCACTTGCCCTCAAGGGCAAGAGGTTCGCTGTTTGATGATGAAGATGATAATTAATGATGATTTATTTTGGCTTTTGAGACAAGGTTTCTTTGTGTAGCCCTAGCTGTCCTGGAACTAGCTTGGTAGACCAGAGTGGCCTTGAACTCCCAGACATCTGCCTGCTTCTGCCTCCCAAATGCTGGGATTAAAGATGTATGACAATGAGAAGTATATAGAAGAGGACTTCCATTCTTCATCCCCTCCTGGAGGAAAGCAGAATGTAAAGATTTAGTCCAGGCTGGCCATTGAGCAGTGTCAGTGATTGATGTCTGGAGGCAAAGTGCCATCTCCTTTGAACTAAAGAGGTGAGGATGTAAAATGAGGATCAAACCCAGCAGCCTAGGGTCCCGCCTTTCTGCAATTACAGTTTTAGCGAACAAAGCTGCCATACTCTAAGTATCCACTAGATGGCAGTGAAACCTCAGTGTTCAGCCCTCTGTAGCGGAAACTCGGACTCCCAAAGCTAAGACTGCCTTCTGTGGAGGACACCACGGAGGCAGACCGTAAACAGGCTGGAGGCAAGTGTGCCTCCGAGCGGCCTTTCCCCCACCCTTCAAGTTCTAAAGCTACTTTCCATTTCCCCTGTCCTTATTTGTATGAAGCTCTCCAAGGTTTCCTAGCCCATTTGCATGCAACCTGGCATCATTACAGGTGATGTCTCATAGACAGAGCTTATTAATGTCATCTGATATTTACGTGGTGAGAACATTGGCTTTCAGTCAGGAAAAGTGTGCCAAAACCGAAAGTACAGGCTGGTCCTGGAGATCCAGCATTCCTCCCCCCTCCGCCCTCCCACATGCTCTGAGTTTCCTTCCGTTCTAGACTTACTGAACACTGAATACCCGGTCGGGCTTTCGCTTCCTGCCCACTTCCTTCTGTTGCTAGCAGGGCTCACGTGTTCACTGATGTCCCAGCCTCAAATGCGGCGCAGCTTTGGAAAATCCGCTGTTGACCTCTGAGCACCTGGGAAACTGGCTTCAGTGTGTAGGTGGCTGTCTTTGGAAACCCACGTGTGTTAAAATGTTTAATTGCAGCTATCATTTATCTATCTATCTATCCATCATCTATCTATCTATCTATCTATCTATCTATCCATCTATCATCTGTCTGTCTGTCTATGTGTATGTTCGTGTATATGTGAGTGAGGTCAGTGGACAACATGCAGAGGTCTGTTCCCTTCTCCCACCACACGGGTTCTAGAGACTGAACTCAAGTCAGACTTCGTGGTGATCTCTACCTGCTGAGCCGTTTATTTCCCTTGCCTGTTTTTCTTTTCCTTCTTAAAAAAAAAAACAGATTTAAAAAAGTTATTTTACGAGTGTTTTAAAATCTTTGTAAGTATATCTACCACATGTGCCTGGTGCCCTGTGAGGTTGGAAGAAGGGATCCAGCGCTTTAGAGCAGGAGATACAGCTGGCTGGAAGCCGCTGTGTGGGTGCTGGGAACTCAGCTCTGGTCCTCTGCAAGAGCAGCAAGTGTTCTTAATTCTTGAGTCGTCTCTCCAGCCCTGTTCCCTAGCTTTATTGGAGACCGGATCTTATTATATAGCTTGGGCTAGCCTTGAAGTCGCTTTGTAGGCAAGATTGGCCTCGAACCCTGATCCTACTCCCACCTCCCAAGTACTAGGACTGCAGGTGTATATCACTACGCCTGCCTTGCTTTTGGAATTTGTTTCTGTATGTGGGGGGAGGGTAAGGGGATCTTTACATCTGAATGTATTCGTGGAGGCTGGAAGACAACGTTGCTTTCTCTCTCTCTTTCTCCTCTCTGCCTTATTCCCTGGAGACGGTCTGTCACTGTAGCTACAGCTAGGCAGGCTCCAGCTAGCTTCCCATCTCTGCCCATCTCTTCTCTCAGAGGCTGGGCTTACAGGTACACACATGTTCAGTCGCAATCCTTTTCCTCAGGTTTTGGGTATTTGAACACAGGCTCTCATGCATCTACAGCAAACACACTTGCCGAGCCAGCTGTGAGCCAGCCTTTCATTTTGTATCCCACGCTGGCCTGGTACTCACTCTCTACCCCAGGCCTCCTGCTTCAGTGTTAGGATCACAGGCCCTCCTCCACCTTCAGCTTAAGACCTGTTTCCCTCTGTAGCTCTGGCTGTCCTGGAACTTGCTCTACCTCTGCCTCCCGAGGGCTGGGATTGAAGGCGTGTGCCACCACTGACAGGCTAGAACCATTCTCCAAGGGAGCATTTGATGAAGCAGTCAAAGCCTGTGCTCGATCACCTCGTATTTCCGGAATCCCTCCTACTTTCCTTCTTCTAATCGGGATCTGTCTCCAGGCCTCTCTTCTGGTTCCTCCTCCCAGTTGGCATGAAAATCGCAGGGAGGGGACCGGTGGGCACCAGGCAGTATTTGATTTGCGTCCATTTCTTCCTCCTAGCCTCGAGTCAGCTGTCAGGTGAGGGCGCTCCAGGCAAGGAGAAGAGCTTCTCAAAATGCCGGTTGGAAGACAAAGGGGTCAGCACTCCAGCTGGCCTTCATCCCTATGAGTATAAGCCTCCACACACCCAGTACTAATTCATTCTCTTTGTGGGAAATTATGGCTCCTTTTGAGGAAATTCACCTTTCCTCGAGAAATTCCTTGCTTATTTTTCATAAGGTTATTCTATGTCACCCAGGCTGGTCTGGAACCCGCTGTGTAGCCCACACTGGATTGGAACTCGTGACTCTCCTGCCTCAGCATCTTGAATGCTGGGGTTACAAGTGTCCCTGAGGGCTTGTGTCCCTTAAGAGAGCAGATACAGAGAGCATCACTGGAAAACCTTGACATGTCACTATGGGGTTTGCAATGACTTGCCCTGAGGTGCTAGCACTGGAGAGGATGTTTCAAACTCCCTGAATCAGCAACAGGCAATAAGATGAAACTTGTTAGCCAGGCGGTGGTGGTGCACGCCAAGAATCCCAGCACTCGGGAAGTGGTGGCGCATGCCTTTAATCCCAGCACTCGGGAGTCAGAGGCAGGTGGATCTCTGTGAGTTTGAGGCTAGCCTGGTCTACAAGAGCTA